ATGTATGGTTCAGAATCAGAAGTACATTTACTATTTGTGGTATTAGTGTCAATTGGTTGAAACGTATATTTTATCAGGTGGTCAAAGTCGAGTACAGAGTGCATTGATTGAGTGTCTTTTAGTTTGGTGTTAAAAATGTGTTTAAACTTACCCATATAAATGTGTATAGTTATGGATTTCAAAATTTTCATTTATGTCAAAATATTTACTTATTATCTAACATTAAGTAACCATGGCTATTGACACCAAATGAAGCACTAAAGTTCATTATTCCAATGGCCGTATTACTTTCTAAATATTCATGAGATATTTTTTCTTCTAAACCATGAATCTTCTTTGGAAAATTATATTTTTCACAAATTGATTGTGTGTTTGTGGCATAAAGTGCTTACTTTAGTACGTCTCCCGTATTTGAATTGGCTCTTTTGAGAATTATGATTACCATGATGTGAGAGCTGCATGGCAATCGCTACATTTTTGTTGATCGTGTTAAAGATATGTCGCTTAAACACCAACTAGAAACCAATAATTTTTTTGTTAAGTACTAGTGATAGTCTCCAACATGCTCACTCCCATTTAAAGAAGATAAAAAATGGGGGGTAATTTCAGGGATACATTGAACTTTATCGAAGGGCAATAATTTTCTTTTATTGTGAAGATTGATTATGTATCTATCATAGGAACCAACTCTCATGCTATCATTTCTCAACTTTTATATAGGCAACACTTTGATGTTCACTTCCATGCTTCACATGTTATGTCCAAGTCATTTTATTTTCTCATGTATTTTTAATTTGGGACCCTGTGATTCGGATTGGTATTGAAAGGCTCCTTGATTTCTGAATTTGAAGCTTTCATATTTGCTCAATCTCAATCAACGGTGGTATGTGCAATTACTTCAGTGTATGTGGACCAAACAAGATGTGTGCCATTTCTAAGGCTTCATTTACTGTTGCAGAATCTGATTTTCATTTCTCCCGTAGAAGAACATCTTTTCTTCACTAAGCTGCTTCATCATTGTTAGGCAAGTATTACTTGCGTCCTCCTCAGCATCCAAGGTATTTTTCAACTTGAATCGGCCTTCATTGCACCCACTGCTAAACTCATGAGTAAATTTCATTATGCAAAAAAGTTATATACATGTGCATAGCTATAAAAAAAACCTCGGGTATATGTCATTTCTTATGTTAGAGTGAGAAAAGTCAAATACATCATAAAAGATGACTCCTATGAAGTTGCCAAAGAATGCACAAAATTGTGTTCAATTGTATACCTAACTGTATTGCGCCTATGTTCTTCATTCATGGTAAGGAGATTCTGAAACCACATTTTTTATCACCCTCTATTCAATGCTTTTCTACTAATCATACATTTTCATTATTTTAACTTATTTCATTCTAAAATAAACTTTCATTGTAGGAAAACAACTACATTGTTGTTGGCCATATCCGGAACATGAAAGTCATTTGGGAGTACTTCACCGGGACACAATACATTGTCCAACTCACTATTAGTGACAATTTTGGATCATGTCCGACATATTTCAAATCATACAAATTCATATCCATTGCCTGCGCTGTGATCAACAAAGATGATGCTACTGGGATAAGTACTATAGAGAGATACTGAATTCTATCAGAGACCAATTTTTTTTTTTTTTCCTCCTGAGGGTTCATTATGTATATTTTAGGGAAAGCAACTTTAATCTTGAACTATATGGCCTTCTTAAGTAGCGAAAACTAATTATATGTATATGTTTTTCTTTTCTCTTTCGAACAATTGTATTTCTTTCTCAAATCATATGTCTTATTTTCTTATCATATTTTTTGTCTAAACTTTCCCGACCAAGGGCAGGGCCCGGTGCTAGTCTATACAATAAATAAAAGTCAAATAAAAAAAACTATCCCACCATTCAAAAATTCCTGCGCAGAGAGGAACTTTCGGAGACCCATTTTGGGAATTTCCTTCCCTCCATTTTTTTATTTGGGCCCAACCGCACTTAGCCTCTTAACTGCATCTGAAACTCCTTTTCTTTTTCTATTTGGCCCAACCGTCATTTGCTAAAGCTATAAGCTTAATTTATAGCTGTAGTGAATATCTCTATAATTATACAAAGTGGGCATTTTAAAATATTAATTTTATTTAGGCTTTGTTTCTTTCTCATTTTTATTGACCCATTTTCAATCCTGGGTTGACCTGCTTTGACCCTGATCCGGTGAAAAAATGGGCTGCACACATCCGGCGGGTTGACCATTGTAATGTAAAATGCGTCTAATTTCCTGTTACCTTTTTTGCCTAACCCAATCTTTTAAATTCTAAGTTGCACATTTGAATAATGATGTTATATAAGTGTGTTTGAATTTTCACTATATGTTGGATTTAAGTACGACATGTTATTTTGATATAATATTATATGTTATTACTCATATGTTAGATAAGATTTGATATAATTTATAAATGTATGAACAACATAATAGATGTTTTCATATATCTGGGCTAAAGCGGTTGGACCATTAACCCTCAACCCACTTGCCCGATCGGCCAACGGGCTAAATTGGGTTGACGACCTTGCTTAAGACCCTTGAAACCTATAGTTGATAATATAGCATGCTTTTATGTTAAAAGTTAGCATTGTGAAATCGTATTGGAATTATACCAGAAAATTAGTAATAGTGTACTTTGTACTAAATCGTAGTTTGACCTTTGTTCAAATGCTCAGATCGGTATAAATATAATCATCAACCATTTGTAATTGGTATCCGGTTTTTTCGCTCTGATTGGCTAATAAGGTGTGGTATCTAAAACATTGGTTAAAAATAGATATCATTTTAGCGAGCATTATATTCTGGTTTTATTTTTTTATCATTTTCCCAATGTTATTTTGCGGTTTCGTTTTATTATTCATAATATTAAATATATATGATATTCTAAATCATTCGTTCAATACTTTAGAAGTATTTTTGTACTTTTACTCTTTATGACATCTATAGTTGGTTGAGAGTTGTTTTGTTATAAAATTTGACTATATTTTAACATGATCTCTAGCTGATCGGATTAATTTGTGATTTAACTATTTTCTATGATACTATTTTGATATATCTGAGTCATGCCTTTGATAATTAATCTATTTCTCATTGGCAATAGTGGATTTGATATCATAGTATACTTTGTTATGTTTCTATTTTTCCCATGGCATTAGAGTAGTTTCTGTAAGTAATTATTTTTGTGAGCAAATTAAATTGGGTCTGGTCACATATTTTTTTATTATGCGGTTGGACACTAGCCGATGACTTGACTTATCGTAGCGGGGTTTAATTACGAAATGAGAATCTATTACCAGGGATTAAGTGGGCATTTTAAAGAAGTTTTGTTGATGTTCTTAACAATTTGTTTTGGGTAACGATTGGTGTGATGATGAAAGTTGGTTTTTTGGACTCGAAAGTTGCTCAATGTTAAGAACATGTAGTACCGCCTTGGTGGATTGAGAATTATCAACTAATTAAGCATCGAGTGTTTGGTTGAAAGTCATCAAGCAACCAAGTCCAACATAATTTAGGAAAAGAAAATCATAATTTGTGGTGGTGCACTCAGTTTCAATTAACCACAATCGAGTATTGAATGTATTTTGTAAGTATAGCTTGGTGTTCAGACATAAGTTCTGTTTAGTATACCAATCCCTATAAGTGTGAGAATTAAAAATAAAATTGTGATCTCTATAATAGGTATCTACATATTTTCGAAATTCAAGTAATCTGGCCATAAATACATAAGTTTTGATAAAGACAATAACAAGAAAGAGGGAAGTGATTGAGAATTAAATTGTCATTTTCAAAAGGGAAGATGTAAAAAGTACTAATAAAGTCAATTCAATTCCTGTGATTGAATAAATATTAATTAATCGTTGGACCTAAATTTACCATAATAATTTATGAATAATTAAGCACAATGCATGTGGAACCAATAAAATCCTTCATATATTCGGGCAAAGTCTTGCTAAACTGAGTTAATCCAATTTGACCATTAATCATTACCCATTTGCTTCAATGAGTTAACAATTTAAATTTTGTTGACAACATTGGTTATAACCAATTACAGTAAACAAATTTGTTGCATATATTTATATCTAGAAAACATATAACAGTGGAGTTGGTGCTCTTGCTTTAGAGCAAGAAATGCGAACTTGGAAAAATTCAAAAACTATTCCTGAATTATTATATTGTGAAGGGCGATTATGCAGGAAAAATTCACAAATTAATATATGAAGCCGAAGAAAACGGGCGGTTGTTTTACTACAAATAGCATTCATATGTTACGTGAGAGTAAAAATGGAAAATAATTGATGACAACATAAGGTCCTTGCCTGGTTCTAATCAACCGGATTAAGAACTCATGACTAGAATAAAAGAAATAAATTCGATGAGATTATTACGGTGACCACTGATCTACAAATTGTTTGGATGAATACGAGAAGTATCTGTATTAGAATATTGAAACTTTTGAGATGATAGGCTTTTTGAATGAAGGTAATGAAGGGTCGACGAACAATGACTAGAAACAATTAGAAGATGATGAGAAACAGCAATACCATGAGGTGGGGTACCGGGGTGCCATTTTCAGAAAATTTGGGGTTGGAGTGAGAGAGGGGATACATGTACCTTTTTATATAAAAAAAATTTAAAACACAAAGCGAATTTAGGTAATTTTATACATAAAATCGATAACAAATTGTTTCAATATGTTCATAAATTTTGTTATTTCCTTCTTAACCTGGATATATATTTTATTTTAAAAAATAAGAGATGTTTTAGTATTTTATATGAAAAAATATATTTAATAATTATTTAATAAAAATAAATATTTTATTAACATTTTAAATATACAATTATCCGACAATAGACCTTCTCTCGCTCTCACTCCACGTGTCGACAAATCTAAAATAATTCGGCCAACTGGCCGGGTCAACAACTAGTAAACAATAAGAATAAAATATGATATCATCATCAACTGCTTCCGCCATGAGCATGTATGATCTCTTGGTAATAAGCCCAGTCGGGATGGGCTGCTGTTATGGCAGGAGGCCCGTATGGATTGGCCTTCACATAAGAGCCCACATCTTCAGCCCTAGATAGCCCATCCAAGAACTTCCACAGTTCCCCTTCTTGAGCTGCAAGCCCAAATCAAAATAAGGGGCATAAAATTAAAAGATCAAGTGAACAAAACAGAGAACGCAAGTTTTCAACATCGAATGTTGGTATTAATTACCTAGTACATTATCATCGTCATCCTCAAACTTGTACTCAGGAGCAAACACAGCTGTGTTTGGCTGCATGCATCACACAAATGAATGGATCATTATCACCCAAGAAATTTACAACAGAGTTACCGACACAGTAATAAAAAAAAAAGGAAGGTTGTATGAAATCACAGGATTCAAGAGTGTTTTCTCGGGTACATCATCGAATTCGATCATTAATGTATTGGAAGCTGAATATCGAGGACTACTGCTACCAAAAGTAGTTCTCCAATGTCGATCCCAAACATTACTCAACTTCTTCAAGAAGATGGGCCTATCTTTCTTTTGCAGTGATTTGAATCCCGAGTCAATAACATGTTCTTGATTCTGACAAACCATAATACATTTTTTTATATAATAAAGCTTCTGAAGAGACCCTAGTAAAGTTATTAATAAAGATATTAATGAAGAATATAATGTTACCCAAACAAAGACAAGACCGATACTCTTCAGCCCAGTCATTACACAGTCCAAAGCATTCTCTGTGTACCATCTGTTCAATCATTTCACATTAGTCAATACCAACACATGACAAAGTTGAATCAAATTTCTCTCTGATAAACCGAGGCTTACTAACCTCTTTGCCGTGGACCAGATAGCTACGTCGAAATTTTCGAAGCAGAATTTCAGAAACGTATCGCAGTGAGGCCTCTTGTAAACTAAAGAACGGGGAGAGATGGAATATTTAATCCAGTATACGAGTTATCAGAAACGCCGATTTACAGCAATGATTAATGAAATTTCCTGCTTCTTAATTATGTCTTGGTTATACGTACGAACCTACGAAGCTCCCGTACGCGGCATCGTAAGGCCGGCGAGCATTGAAGAGTCTGAAGGGATTTTCTACACGTTCGCAGAGCAAGCCGCCGAGGGCCAGAATCACAAGTTTCCGGTCACGGGTCGACGGGCGAGGCCCGATGCTCAACCTCCCCAGCAACGAAGCGCCCCCATCGTCGTCGTCGTCGTGAAGTAGAGCTTCCTTCTTTCCTTTCCTTGGCTCGCCGTCGTCGGAGGAATGCATGGCTGCTTTAATTTTCTGCTTTCCGTTGTTACTATATCATGGTTTAGGGTGTGATTTATAGTGGTATGCTGCTGACGCTTTGGTTGGATTACCATTCAAATCGTCGCATGCGTTGATTTAATTAATCCGTTTGTGTATTAATTGGCATTTGTACTGGGGAAAAGGGCTCGTCGATATCATAATGACATTGTGTTGGAACTTGGAAGGAGACGACGCTTCGAGTCCCTCTCTGCAACGTTCAATATCTAGGGCCTCCCACCCACTGCGTGCATTCAGAGTCAAAGAGATCTTCTTGATGATCTCAATCCATATTCGCCACGGAGAAATGGAAGGAAACAAATTAATTAAAAGGAAGGGCAAAATTGGTAATTCTCAATCCGTAGTGATAAATCTGAGAACATTGTAATTATAGGAAGTCTGTTTGACACGAAATATAATAAAAGAGCAAGTTCGATAAGATTTTTTTTCCGGTTACGTTCTTGTCTTGTACAATTGTCAACTATAAAATTAGACAGGCCGAATGACAAGTTACAACCCGCGGCCATGACAAACAAATTGCCATTTATTTATTCCACCCCATTCATCATATATCCTCTACCCGTCAGGTCCCACAACATTTCAATTCGACACAAGATTAGTAAATCTGAGCTGATATGGTTCAAACTCAATTTGATTCGACTCATTCGCAGAATTAAATATGATATACCATGACTCCATGATGAGAGATCTGAGAAAGAAGAGCGCATGTATAAAACGCGTACCACAAACAAACATCCCCCGCCCCAGCAAAGCACAAAAACCAGCCAACCTGCATATGTCATCGTCTCATGTCCCCAACCATACGAGAATGGCTTCCACCCTCTCTCTCTCTCTCTCTCTCTCTAAGTCTCAGTCCACTTTTGCCCTTTAACGAATTAACATTATCCTGTACCCACGATCTCTCCAATCCAAATGTATGTTTTACAGCTGACTTTTCAGCAACCTCATTATCATCATATTATTATTGATCCTCCAATCATCATTCATCACCCTCTAGTTTCCCAACTGTCCCTCGGTGACCAAAACCCATGCAGCCGGCGCACGGCGGCGTTTTGTCCGATGGTCAATTTGGGAACGGATCATGGACGGAGTAAAAGAAACAAGGGGAACCATGCACGTTGATGCAAAATACAACATCCATTGACGCTTTTAACATTTCTATTTCACAAACAATAAAAGAATTAACAGAGCAAATTACTAGTATATAGCAGCAATTCTCTTCCCCCAGGCAGAGCTTACTATGGACATATGGAACAAGATTATACAACTACAGCTACAGCTACAGCTACATCTCTTGTCAATCACACACCCATTGTTTCTCTCATCCCTACACTGCCAATTGTATCTCTTTCTCTCCAATGTGGAACAAGAATACTTGTCGTTAAGGTGCCTACCAAATTATAATAATGTTTGAACATTGTTGCTACCGTTGTTGTTCAGATGTTAGCTTTATGAATTTTGGAGAAGAATATTGCGGATTCAAATACAAGGAGAAAGAAAGAAAGAAATAAATAAATAAATAATAATAATAATAATATTGATTAATAAAAGACGACTGACCCCTCTTTGATGCATACTGCTGCTGCTGCTGAGCATCTGGCACGATCAAGCTCGAGTCTTGGGAAGGCAGGTCAAGCACAAACTAACGAGAATCATCATCATATCTTCAAGTTAGATAAACATACGTATGTCTGATTGAGACTGACTTGTAAGCAGCAGCAGCAGCAACCAATAACAATCTCTTCTCGTCTCTTTTCATCCATCCTTGTCTCCAAAGCAAAGTGGTCTGGCTTCCCAAATCATTCTGCCTTCGGATTCTAGTTGAAGTAACCTCCCAAGATAACTTGTCTTTTATCATTTACATTAAACTTCTGAAACAATTGTTAGTGCTCGTTGAGATGCATCACCGCGCCATCTATAGCTGAATGAGCCTCACTGGTTGGCTCAGTCACTTTCGCTACTGTGTCTATCTGCACGAGTTCGAAGAAATTGAGTTGGTAAAAGAACTTGTTAAACCAATTTACACTTCAACAGGGGGTTAGGTCAGGGAAAAGTAAAGCAAACCTCCAGATTGTCTTTTCCCTTCCATGGCTTCCCTCTTCTCTTGGCAACTGACACAAAGGAAAGGGCCATCCCAGGGGCGTAGCCTTCTCATGTTAGCTGACCCGGCATGTATGGATACTCCTTCGTCAGGTCTAATCTCTACTTGGCACACCGCACACATGAACAACTTAAACATGTTGCACAACGGATACTTCGTGTCTAACCTGCAACCACCCACGTTACGTGAACACTTCAGGGGTCACAACACCAGAGACTCTGAAATTAACATGTGTACCAAGAGTGATGATCATCTAACAGACGAACAAACCTTTCTGAAAGCATAGCAGAGCCTTCCTCGAACATCTCCTCAACAACATCTGGCTCAACGTATTCTTTGTCGGGATGAGAAGATGATTCAGAAGACTTCTTTCGGAACATAGACCTCAACACTCCTTTGACTTGCTGTTTCCTAGGTGCTGGGTGAGGGATGGCTGGCTTCTCCATTGGAAGCATGTCGACAACAATGCAAGTAGTGTCATCTCTGATACCCTTGGGATGCACGGCTTCCTGCAAAAATAAAAGAAAATCGAATGATACGGTCATGAGTAGAAGAACTCGGGCCTAGTATAGCCATTACTAAAGCATGCAATGAACCTAGAATCAAATAGCAGACAACAAAATGTAATATTTGCCACATACTTTAACGATCTGTGATGCTGCAGCATCTGGGGCCATGCCACGGCAACATTCAAGAGACGTTTCTGCAGACACAGCATCCCAAACTCCATCACTTGCGATGATAAGTCTACCACCACCAGTAGACAACTGCAGAGAAACACCAATGATTCGTTAGATGAGAGAAATCTCATGCAGATTCAGGACATTCCTTCACTAAACTATATCATTCATCAAGTTGTATTGCAACAGAGATTTGGAAGCATTCATATTCATCAATATTTCCGATCTACAAATCACTAAATCCACCTTAGTCAACTCTTATACAAGGATACAATGAATACAAGCAAGCACGCATCTGGCATTATGATAAAGGTGGTAAATGCTTGCCAGCAAGGCTGAAGCCAATACTAGAGTGTATGAAATTCCTAGATAGTGAATCAGAGAAATTCCTAAGTAGAAAATCAACTGAAGATGCAAAACGAGAAGAGGCACAAACCTTGACTTGCTTCACATAAGGAACAGGAACAATATACTCGCCAACGTCCAAATCTCCGATGGACCGTGAGAGACACAAGCCACCAGGCCAACATCTCAGCGGGCCAATCTACAGCAAGCAGAGGTATGCAACAAGTTAGATAAGTGTGCAGCAAACAGCCCAGTAAAGTACACTTTGATACAGGCACATATTGTATCAATTCATATCCATCTAAAATGAGATATTGTGCATCTTATCATTAATTGGCAATTTTTGTAAATGAGCCATTATCAACATATAATATCAAACCAATCAAAGTATTTTCATTAAACAATAGCAAAAAAGGATGACAGGGAGAAGAGTTGCAAAGAGGGAAAAGGCAAAAAGATACCTCTGCACCACCACCAGTATTCAGGCGCCCAACCTCACCACCACTTGCTGTAATACGATTCCTCCTAAGAAGTGGAAAAGAAAGAGAGAAAAATACATGGTTAGAAGGGTGATTGATCCATAAATCTGTGGGATGAAAAACCACAATAAGTAAGTCACCCTTACTCCTCTTCATTGCAATCAAGTCTGTGATCTGCTGACAAGTAGTAGAGATCGCCTTCAGCAGATTCAAGTATGCAACGAGAATCTCCGACCGATGCTACAGTAACAACCCATCCTTCAATGATCACAAATGTGACAGTTGTTCCAGATGGTTGTCCTGAAAAGACAAAAAAAAAATTATCAGCTACCAGGCTAGAAATTTCACAGTAACAACAAATGATGGAGTGCACTTCAGTCCTAAATAAGATTTGATGACAGGCTTTGACCCTCAATCGTGTATAGCAGATTCATCATGTTCATACCTCTAACTTGAAACTCTTTATCTGTTTTGACAAATCCTGCAACCAATGCCCTGGGAAGTGCCGCTAGCCATTCCTCTCGGTTAAGGTCTTGAGGAATAGCAGCTATAACGTTGTTTAGAAGATTCTCCTTGGTGTAAATCGCTGCTGCACAGCCATTATGACCATCAAATAACTGCAAACAACAAAATATGATTCAGCAGGGAAGACTTGATAACAAAGGTTGAAATCGATGAAAGCTGCATCCAAGTAACGTTCGATCATGAAAACAAGGAATTCTTACCCCAAAAACGGAGTAAGTAGTAACGCCATCGCCAAGGATCCTCTGGCATTCAGTTTTGACGAGCGTGAAATCTTCTCCTTTCTTGCTCTGGTTGGCCTGCCCATAGACAAGCTCAGGCTTCTCTACCTTCTCGTGAGCCAATTCTCGCTTTAGCAGCACCGAGAGCGGCACCGTGTGATGCTCCCTCGCGGTTGACATTTCAGAAACTATGAAGACGAAAAGAAAGATGAAAATCCCCGACGGCCGCCAATCTCAATTTCTTCTCGACTGCAAAACGAAGACACAACCACAAAATCTAAAATCAAAGGAGATCAGAGGGAGTACTGATGCCGCATTTCAGCCTCCTAATCTCAAAAAGCCACGAAGACGATAAAAAAGAGAGGGAGAGGAAAGGGAAAAAACACAAAACGCTCGCAACAACGAGATGCCACAACTTGGCCTTGGCCGGCTCATACAAGGACAAAAAAAACGGCGGAGATCTTCCGTACAAAGCGAATGGTTCAAACCGAAACACAATTGGAAGCACGAGGCATTTCAGAAAACGGCGATTCGAAGTAGGAAACGGAGAACATAAGATTTCGTCGCGTTTCAGATCAATGTAGAGCAAATCTCAAGGCACTTACAGAGGAATGAGGCCGAATCTGGAGGAGGAGGAGGAGGAGGAGAATGCTAACCGGAGCCGGACCGAGGGTTTTGGAATCCGGCCACGGTGCAGCGGCGAGAGAAGCGGAAAGAGCTGCAAAGCTTGAGAGAGGGGGAGGAAGAAGGAAGGGTTAGAGAAGTAATGGTGGTGGCTATGGCGGAAGGGAGGTTGTCAGAGGATATGGAGGAGAATTTGGTGAAGATTTTGCTGAGACTGCGATCGAGAAACGCGGATCCCAGCTTTCTGCAGGAATTCCATTGTTGAAACGAAGAAACGCTATTGACAGAGAGAGATCGTTACATTTAACGACAAAACAATAATATGAGCGCAATTGGAGCTGTTCTTTCTTGCCCTCTTTTTCCTCTCTGGTTTTTTTTTTTTTCTTTATGAAAATTTCCTCTCTGTTTCTTCTTCTTTTTTTAATTAATTTTTCTCCTTGTTTATATGCGCTGGTGTTGATGGAGCTGACGTGGGGAGTGAAACGCACCGTTTTGTCTGTCCGTTCGCCGCGCAAGAGAGAGGCGTTTGGGGGCGCTAAATCGCCACCGTCTGATTTTATCATTTTGGAAACGGTTTCGCTCTGTGCTGCCTAGGGCTGGAAGTTTGGTACTGGTATTTGGGATATACCGAATACCGTACCGAATTTGTCTATATTTGGTATTACCGAATACACGTATTATTTTGTGGGATTGAGATTGGGATTGAGTTTCAATTGTTATTCGGTATTAGGGATTACGGGATTGGGATCGGTATATACCGAAATACCGATCAATACCGAAATATAAGCTAGTGTGTATTTTATTCTCTCAACTAAACTCTCTCATTCACTTCTACGCGACCCTCAACCACTAAAAGTGTCATTTAATTATACATAGATCATTACATCACTATTTCACACTAGTATTAGTCGTCTCTCAATCTCAAATTCATCAAATTAAAGATTACCAATTACAAAAACTTGAGATGTTAGCTCTAGGAAACTTAAGACTCTTTGCTTAGTCTCTTTGCCCTAAATAAAACAATAAAATCTAATTTATATATTTAATTATTAATGGCAAACGTAATTAATTTTTTATTTGATAATACCAATTGGGATACCGAGGTACCGGTTGGGATACCGAAATTATTTAGGGATACCGAAATTATTTAGGGATTGGGATTGGGATACCGAAATTATTTAGGGATTGGGATTGGGATTGATTTCAGGGTGTAATTCGGTATTCGGGATTTCGATATTTGGTATTGGAATACCGATACCGTACCGATTTCCACCACTAGTGCTGCCTATTACGGTGGGACCTACAAACAAGGGAGAGACGATCTTTGTAAATCCCAGTAAAGTGGTATGGTATGTTACATAATTAGCAACGCGATTACACGATCCTAATCATACTAGCTTATTACCCGGTCCGTTGGCCGGATTACTGTATGTTACCCACTTGTGGAATGGGAGAGAAAGCAAGCGAGAGTGAAGGGATTGAGATTCCACTTGATTAGGACCGATCCACTAATCCAATTCTTCCCGACCCGCCCCAACCTACAGGGTCAGAAAGAGTCAATAAGAAAATACGAACGGGGAGGATTAGTCATATATCTTGACTCTTCAGAAGTGGGTCAAACAGGATCAAGGTTGGGTGAGGGCCATTTTTAGCGCTAAGCAGAGTTCTGGGTTGAATACATTTACTTAGGCCTAGAAATTGGTGCTGATGCAGACTGCAGTTTTTATTATACCATCATCAATCATCATTGAATTAGTCCTGGGCATCCCTCCCCGTTGTCGGTCTGAATTCTAATGATGACTTCATTCCTTGCACCAGCCATATCAGCGAGTTGCCATCTCGAGCATGATTTGCCTATGTACAAATAATACAATTAGAGTATGAAAATGAATTCAATGAAAAGGAAAAGAGAATTCTATCACATGTCAATAAATACACACATAATAGTTGAAGTTAAGTGAAAGTCATTACTCGCACATCAATTCTCAAAAATTACAGACTAAACATTGGCTAGAATGGCACTGAAACTACCAAGAATCATGGACGAAACAACTTGTCAAATTAAATAATCCTTATACTGAAACTACCTTCTAACTTGAAATAAGACACGATCACAGTTCATAGCTCTCTTCTCACTATGAATTGGTTGCAGCTCGTCCTTATCACTGCCTCTCAAGCTCAATTCAAACAGAATAGAGACCGTTATGTAAGATAACCATATTCTTACTGATCATAATTCCTTTCTTCACTCCATTTTTGTCGGAGAAAAGAGTTATCCCCCTCTCCTGCATTTCCCTTTCCCCCTCTCTTCTCCCTCTTCTTCACAAACCGATCCCTAAACCAGCAAAAACAACACAAAAATAGCCTTCGCCTCTCCCGTCTCCATCTATTGAACGCGTTGGTGGCAAGACAGGACTGCAGAAGCAAAATTTTCTAAAATCAAACTAAATTTTTCGAAGCAGACTCAACCACGAAAAAAGAGTAAAGCAACAATGCAGTAGAACCCTAAATTTAACTACAATCAAGCACATATCAGCAAGATTTTCGATTTGTCTGAGAGTTAACTACACGGAGAGAACAATTGATGCATAATTGAAATGCTCCAAACAAGTTGAAGGCAAACCATAACTTTAGAATTTGGTCATTATAATAACCTTCAAGTATTGATGCTTCTAAGAACTATCATGTCCAACCCCCACTTATACAATTACGTAGCCATAGTAATTAGTTGTATAATGAGAAATATTACAAAGAAACTACATAAACAACCAATGTAAGTAAATATTAAAACTAACAACTAATAAAACTTAAAATCTCTCTATTGGTATAAATGTATCTATTAGTAACTACTATGCAATCGAGTATATATGATTTTTAGGCACTATATAAGAAAAGTATAGATGGCTAGCAAATGAAGACATAGCAACTGAAGGTAGCACACAAAAACCAAAAATAGAAAAAGAGATAAGAAAAAAGGCGAGAAAAAGTCAAACAAAGAAAAAGCCCACATAGGAATACCTCGCTAGCTTTAGGGACTCTCTGCCACAACAAACAACATTCTTAAAAATCTAACACCCTGAGACATCAAACAAACCTCCCACGACACTAATGTATGGCATTCCTATTGTCCAATAGGTTTGCCCAATTTATACTTCTAAATAAATGGACTTTTCACCATTAAATCAAAACTCACAATCATTAACAGTTAATGCAAAGACATACATTTCTGAGGCCAATCACAGCATTTAAGCATAATTTTTAGTTGAAAAGAACAACTAAGTATTTAGCTAAATGATATAGTAGAATGGACACAATCTGCTACCTACTAATGATATAAACGTGTACCGGTACCATCGTTGTATCCTGACTTGCCATTTGCAACGGGCACTTTGAAAGACAGCTGCATTTTAGAGAATAAACACCCATAAGGGCATTACGAAACCAAGCTTAATCAAAAATCTTCATATTCCACTTCGAAGACTCCATTTTCAAAAATAAGAGAGTTTAACATGTCAAATCACTCATTTGAAAAATCTCAAACAACTATTAATCAATGCAATATAAAGGCACGTTCCAAATTATGTACTTGTAGGAATAATCCCAAATAATTATCAATTAATGCCCCAACTACCTAATGTGCAGAATAGCCCTGGAGCTGTGTTGTTGTTTGCGTTGGTCTACCTTCAAACATAACATAGTTGCATCACGAACCAAAGCAATTAAGCAAAAATCTTCATATTCCAAGTAGAATGACTCAATTCAATTTGGCCAACGCTTTATACATATTGTTTACCCCTGGACCTGTTGCACTTGCGCCTTCAGATCTTCGTGAACACAATACAATTGCGGAGAGGAGGCTGTCAACGGAATAAAAATTGTTAATTAAGTGAATCACCATACAACTAAACAAACGCGCTCTTCTTGATTAGTTATCAAAATAGTGGGGGTCGCTACAATCCATCGGTTGCTCCCTCTGCGCCTAAGTTGTAGATATTAGGTTTCAGTGAGAACTTTGAGTACATGAGGAGATATTTTGTAGTGGAGGAGATGACCCGGCGAGTAGAATAGGAAGATTTGGAGAGGCTGCGATGGGCAAAGCAGTTAAAATCGAGATTTTACCTAAAATCGAGATTTTACCTAAAATCGAAAACTGGGGTAAAATCAAAATCGTATAATCGAATCGTAAAATTGTAGGATTTTAAGTACCATATAGAACATAGCATATAAGAATATTAATAAGGTAAATTATTAATATCACAAAGACACATAGCATTTAAAATGATAATTCAGAAGATTTTTTTTTCATAAGATAATTCTCAAGATTAATGTTCCAAAATCACTATTTTAATTGTTATTTAATGTGTAACTCAAAATAATTCATGATGAAGGGATATAGTTCATGGGTTTGGCTCTTATTTTCATGTTATGTCTAGGTTGTTTAACTCAAAGTAATATTTCGACATCGTCTACTAAGTATGATTTAAAACTAAAAATAATTGAACTCCAATAAAATAAGTAATGTTAGTGGCTTGGTACAAATATATTCATTAATAAATTAATTAGTTAATAATGATGTTAGTTCTTACATACTTCCAATATTAGGACAGGTGTTTTACCAATAAGTTAAATGGGGTGAAGGGAAAGAGATTAACCGAACCCTAATTTGGTTATTTTTATTATTTTTGAATATTTTTCTAATAGAAAAATATATGAGAAGATTCCATTGCCCTTTCCGGTGAAACAGTTATACTTATTTTAAATTGGCTCAAACCACCTATTTTGTTCTCTTACGATCAAAATCCCGATTTCGGTACTATTTTACGATTTTAACGATTTTAGTCCCGATTTTAAACGATTTTAAGGTCCACCGATTTTATAGTAAAATCAAGATCGGAATCCCTAAGTAAAATCCTAAAATCCTACGATTTTACGATCAAAATCCCGAATTTGACTGCATTGGCGATGGGTGCACGATTAGTGGGCCAAATAACAGTTTGGGCCCGTTTAAATGAAAACATATTTTTACTTTCGTGCTCAACAGACCGACCGCACTGACATCTTCTAAATTTACCCCTAAAAAATTGCTCTGTACGCATCAAATTTGAAATGGAATCCCTCTTTTCTCATTTCACATTTCACATTTATATGATGTGTAGATTGTGATGAGTGTAGATGTAGACCTATCATTGTCCTACAAATTCATTAACACGCCAAAAAGTGGTGAAATGAGCCACCCTATTAAACACAATCTTGTATAATGATCATTGGATCCAATCATGCCAGATTATGAAGAAGTTTAAAATGTAGCGGTTATCCCGACTAAAACATTAAAAGAACCAGTCTCATATAGTTTGCACAAAGATATAATTTCTCCATAGTAATTCTGAAAAATAATATTA